TTTTTTAAAAAAGGGAAGATTAGTTATAGATCTTGCAATAAAAACTCCCACTTAGCATAAGATAGCAGCTAAAATCCCAAATACATTTTACTTTATCATTTAATCCACACAAATTATAAAAATTTTTTGCCTGCTCAACATTTTTGTTTTAGTTTTATAAAACAAAGTTTCCATGACTTAAAAAGTTTAAAATCTTTGATTTGCAATTGTGCTATGACAGTAAATAAATTGCTATTACCTAGAGGCCTAAGCAATTTTTTCCCTAAGCCTGTTTCTATAGGCAGACATACTTCAGTAATTTCACAGATTTGAAAGAAAAGGTTTTTTTAATTAGAATTTTTGTTAACATGTAGGGTACCCATAAAGTTTAATGTGTACAATGTGATGATTTGATATATGTATATCTTGTAAAAGGCACACAGAGTTGTAGAAAAATGGAAAATAGGTTTAATTGTTCTTCATTGTGTGATGTTATACTTCATAGCAGTTTGGTGGCAAATGTCAGAATATCTCATTGGGCCAGATGAGATCAATAAATTATGGGATCAATTGAGCAATATTTAATTTCACTGTGATGTTAGGAATATGCCCTAATAGCTTACATTCATTGGGTAAATTATTTAAGACAGTGAATTTTTTTTTAATATTTTATTTTTAAGTAATCTCTACACCCAACATGAGGCTTGAACCCACAACCCCAAGATCAAGAGTCTCATGCGCTGCCAACTGAGCCAGCCAGGCGCCCCAAGATAGTGAATTCTAACTGAGATATTTTGTTGTTCACATGATGAGGAACAAATAGTTGTATTTTTCTTTGTGGGCAGTTGAAGTCAATTTATTGATTTGGACTCTTGGTTCAAAAGTTGTCCTTAGGGGCACCTGGGTGGCTCAGTCGTTAAGCGTCTGCCTTCGGCTCAGGTCATGATCCCAGGGTCCTGGGATCGAGCCCCGCGTCGGGCTCCCTGCTCGGTGGGGAGCCTGCTTCTCCCTCTCCCGCTCCCCCTGCTTGTGTTCCTTCTCTCGCTGTGTCCCTCTCTGTCAAATAAGTAAAGAAAATCTTAAAAAAAAAAAAAAGTTGTCCTTAGTACAAGTTCCTTTGAAGTTGCTCTGACATTTCTGTAGAGCCAGAAAGTATTGATAAGTGATTAAGATTAAATCAGTTGGTGAGGGGCGCCTGGGTGGCTCAGTTGGTAGCGACTGCCTTTGGAGTCCCTAGATCAAGTCCCGTATCGGGCTCCCTGCTCTGCGGGAAGCCTGCTTCTCCCTCTCCCACTCCCCCTGCTTGTGTTCCTTCTCTCGCTGTCTCTCTCTCTCTGTCAAATAAATAAATAAATAAAAATCTTAAAAAAAATACTGAACTTGGATTACTGTTGGACATTCTAGACCAAACCTCATTTTTTTCTTTATTTCTTTTTACTGTAGTGAAAAATATGTAACATTAAATTTATTATCCTACCATTTTTAAGCTTATAGTTCAGTAGTGTTAAGATCGCTAGAACTTTTTCTTCTTGTAAAACGGAAACTCTATACACTTTAAACACTAACTCCCCCTTCTCCCTCCCACTCATACCTTATGTTTTAAATATAATTTTGGAGATCTGTGTATGATGTGTTTTCTTTTTTTTCCCCTTTCCTGAGATGTAATTGACATTTAACATTGTGTCAGTTTAAGATGTACAACGTGATGATGTGATATATGTCTATCTTGTAAAATGATTAAGACACAAGATGTGTCTTCTTAAATCCCACAAAGAAACTGAATATGAATTTTGGTTAAGAAATTATAGCTAACTTGGGGCGCCTGGACGGCTCAGTCAGTTGAGCATCCGACTCTCGATTTTGGCTCAGTTCATGATCCGAGGGTCGTAAGACTGAGCTCTGTGTTGGGCTCCATGCTAGGTGTGGAGCCTGCTTAAGAGTCTCTCTCTCCCTCTCCCTCGGCCCCTCCCTCCCCCCCGTCAAAAAAATAAATAAGAAATTATAGCTAGCTGATAATGAAAGACTTGCAGTTTATCCATTAGTCATATATGTCCGTATTAGCAAACAGGCAAAGTATTGTAGTATAGCTCTTTTTCCCTACCATTTCTGATTTTAGAGCATGGTTCATGCTAAGAAGTAAAAATGTGCACAAGCTGTCCAAAAGGTGTTTTTTTCAGCAACTGTTAGTGTGTTAGGTGTTACTGTCTGCTGATATGGTAGCTATACATGACTCTGCACTGGTTCGTCCCTTTAGACAGCTGGGGCAAATAGACAGAAAGCTTTATCCAGGCTGCAGATGGCGGATTTGTTCTGTCTCACTAGCCTAACTAGGACAAGTTATTAGACGTGTCCATTTCAAAAGAAAGCAACAAGCCAGCTTTTGGTTGCCTTAAGCTCATTTTTTCTTTTAACTGATAAGGTACTTTTATTTTAAGTGCACCAAAGGAGATCATCTTTTTAAAGGAATTTTGTACCGACTCTGCTACTGAAATGAAAAGTCCTTTTTTCATCTCTCAAATATTGACCCTAATTTTAAATCTTTGTATATTTGTGTTCTTGATTTTTAATGTAAGGCAAAACTACAATTAGCTTTATACTGCTTTCTTGGTAATTTCTTCTCTTTTAATATTATGGCAAAAAAAAAAAGCCATTTCCAATAGAACCCTATCACCACCTTTAACCCTAGGCCCCCCAAGTCATTAGTGCTCTCCTCTTGCTGGGATCAGTCACTACCACCTGTAAGTTGATTTTCTATCTGGATTTCATTGTCCCTTCATCCCTCACCTGACTGTTCACACATGCTAGAAACTCAGCATGTCCCATACTGAACTGAACCGTATAGCTCCAGACACCAAACCTGCTTCTCTCCATTCTTTATTCATGTCTTGGGTAAGCCATCCATCAGTGTAAAATCTTTTATTTTATTTTATTTTATTTTAGGAATTTCTGTCCCCAACGTGGGGCTCAAACTCACGACATGGAAATCAAGAGTCACACGCTCTACCAACTGAGCCAGTGAGGCTCCCCAAAATCTTTACCTTTTAAAATTTCAACTAATGTATAATAAATATCTAATCTCTAATGTGTAGAAAATATATTTTGGTAAGGTTCAATAGTAAATGACTTAATTATTTGAGATGGCTGCTTCTACTTAAGGCAACTGGGCACCTCCCCCCTCTATAAATTATGCACTTGGAAAATAGGGCTTGCAAGTGCTCGACATAAATAATTGATAATTAAGCTTTCCTAAGTGATGAACTTCACTGTTGTATCACCGCAGATGGCTGCCGTTTGTATTTTTCAGTTTCGGTGGGTAACTTTCACGAGTTCCTCAGTGATAGATTTCGGCTGCTTTTACTCTCAAATAATGTTTTCCTACTTGTTGTTTAATTAAAGAATTGCCTCACTTTGTGGTGAGTGATTTTAATCCACATTGCTTTGTGTAATAAGTGTTTCTAGACTAAAGCTCCATGGGAAGAAAACCCAAGAATGAATATTTGGTTCAATTTTTCTGTTAGAATTTTCTTCTCTGTCTTCCTTCCTGTGGCTTCTTCACAGGCTGAAAGTGCTGAATCTCGTTTTTAGTTTGCAGTAAACTTTTTTTTTTTAAGATTTTATTTATTTATTTATTTGAGAGAGCGAGAATGAGAGAGAGAGAGAGCGCACATGAAGGGGGAAGGGTCAGAGGGAGAAGCAGACTCCCTGCTGAGCAGGGAGCCCGACGTGGGACTCAGTCCCGGGACTCCAGGATCATGACCTGAGCTGAAGGCAGTCGCTTAACCGACTGAGCCACCCAGGCGCCTGCAGTAAACTTTCAACAAAAGTTGAAATTGGTTTAGAAAATGTATCTATACCCTCACCGTGTGACAGATGACGACGAAGCCTCTCACTGTTTCAGAAGTTCTTTGGGTTAATCCAGGAATTGGGGTATGTGAGGAGAGCCTTGAGAAGGCGTTTTGTGACATAAGTCCTTCCCTTCGGATGGCTTACCTTCCTGGGAGTATTTAGATTATAGAAATTTGGGTTAAGAGGCATTCATTTAGTCATCGAGGTTGGAAAGTATTCCCAGACAGAATTCGCAGCGTTACCTAGGCCTCCCATGGTGACTTACCAGTGCTGTCATGTCCTGGCACAGTTCCTCGTCTGTCTGGGTGAGGCAGATGGGGATTCTGACCCCTGGCTGCTGATCGCCTCTAGTTATTATAGTGTTAGAAATATCCCTGCCTCCTGGCTAGTCAGGGTGGGGCAAAGAGCACCTGCCGTAACGGACATCCCTGAAACCCTGGCCATTCAGTTAGTGAATTTGAGACTGAGGGTGTGTGTACACGTGTGTGTGCATGCAGGTGTATCTGTATCATAGCACTGAACTATTGTCCTGTTAAACTCCATAATCTGTGTGGCAATTGGTAGGTAAAGGCAAGGACAGCTGTATTATTTACATTCGTATTTTCCTGTTAACAGTCATTTTGAAGCAAATATGAAAAAGGAAGAGGCTTCATTGGAAAGGGTTATAGAGGTATATACATAGTGGTAGGCAGGTACTGAGACTTCTGTGTATAGGTACGAGCTGGCTTAGGAAAATCTAGGCAAAGAAATGTATGTGTGTGTATACAGGCTGATACCTGTAGTTAAGATTCCTGAATATACAGAGGATAGAAAGTAACCACTTCAAGTTTAAGGGGGAAAAAAAAAAACAGGAACAAAATACATGTAAATGTTCATGAATGTGCCCTGAGGGGCCTTCTGGTCTTTTGGCTGATGGTATTATAGACAGATCATGATAAGGATTCAATTAATAATGTTAAAAGGAAAATTGATCTATTTATGTTGGGTATCTTGGGTTCTCACTGCTATGATTTTGCTTATTTTGTGCCACTGTCCCAAATCCAGAGACAATTCTCTTGGGGTTACCAGTTATGCTAATTATTTGTTTGAAGGGTTAACGTTTTTTTTGAGTTGGCTTTTTTACTTGGTTTAGTGTCACTGGTTTCTGTTTGATGTTTCTGTCTCTCCCTGTCTAGGAAGCTATTTTGCCAGCCACTTCATTATGGGAGGAGAGAAGTTTGACTCCACGCACCCTGAGGGTTACCTATTTGGAGAGAACAGTGATCTGAACTTTCTGGGGAACAGACCAGTAACGGTATGGTGATAACCTGTTTACTTCCAGGTGGGGCTTCGGTGGCCAATTCAAACAGTCTTATAAAAATAAAGTTTGTAATCACTGGCTCAGCAGTGTATAGCTTGGTGTGAGTTGAGAGGGGCCCTGGGAGCCAGACCACAGCCCCTTTGCTGGCAGTGGGTCTCTTGTCACTAGAGGCTGACCTGTGGAAAGGCTGCTGGAGTCTGCCTAAGGGTGAGGACGTCTCACATGCTCTGGCTGTCTTACGGATTCTTGTCTCTGCCTAAATGCCACCTCCACAGACAGCCCTCCCTCCCAGCTCTGCTAGCGCATCCTCACCTTGCTTTTTTCCTTCTTCATAGCACCTTAGCAGCATATAGGCTTTTATTTCTGTCTCGCCTTGTTTATTATCTGCCTTCTCTTTTAGAATGTAAACTTCACAGGACAGGAGGTGTTTTTACTGTTGCACCCCAGCACCTAGAACAAAGCCTGGTACATACTGACAAGCCCTTAAAGATTTGTTGAATGAATGACCGAAGTTTTCCCTTGATATCTGAATTGATATCAGACTATGTCTCTGTTCATTCAACTCATTCCATAAACTCTTATGGAGCAACCTCTCTGCACCCAGCTGAGGCTTCAGAAGCCTCAAGAATGGCTGCCATATGGCTTGTGAGTAGCTGCTGTGCGCCAAGGAAGGTCCTCGAGACTTTTCAGACATTATTCCTAATCTTCATAAGGAACCACCTGACAGATTTATCATTATTCTTTTTTTTTTTTAAGTAAGCTTTATGCCTAACGTGTGAGACTTGAGCTTACCACCCCGAGGTCAAGAGTCTTGTTCTCGGGTATTAAGGAGGGCACTTGTGATGAGCTCCAGGTGTTGTATGTAAGTGGTGATTCACGAAATCCTACACCTGAAACTAATATTACACTGTGTTAACAACTGGGATTTAAATAAAAACTTGAAAAAATAAAAGTCACGTGCTCTACCGACTGATCCAGCTAGGCGCCCCAGAAGATTTATTATTTACCTCATTTTATAAGAGGGAGACCTGAGGTTCCAAGAAACGAGTAATGACAATACTAGCGTTTGCGAAGCGCATGCTATGTTCCAGGCACTGTTCTAAGTGTTTACATGAAGTTTCCCCAAAGTCAAATAACCAGGTCTGCGTGGCTGAAGATCAGTAACCTTTCCACTGCTTCAACATATCCTGCCTTCCTCCAGAAGCTCCCGGTGTATGGGGCAGACGAAACATAGGAACAGGAAATGTCTGAATAGCAGCAGAGGTCTGAAGTGATGGGATGCTGTGGGGCTTGAGAGCGGGAGAGGAAGACGGCGTGCGCAGGGCGCTGGTGCTGGGAAGAGGTGGAGGGCGTTGAGCGAGGCTTTGGAGATGCCTGGGTTTTCACCAGTGGGGTGGGGAAGGGGCTTTGCAGGAGAGAGGTGCAGAGGACGGGCCTAAAAGCGTTCCCATTGTTGTTGAATCAGCAAACATTTACCAAGCAACTGCTACGTGCCAGGTACTGTGATAGGCGCTGAGGATACAAAGCTGAAATGAGCATGATTTGTTTCTCCCTGGAACAAATAAAGAAGCCAGTCTGGCGGGAGTGGACGTTTCCTGATGGGAGAAACACGATTGGGAAGGTAGGTGGGGGACTCCATTACCTCCAGAGGTTTTTGACTTGTTCCTGTAGGCTGTGGGGAATAGTGAAGAATTTTAGGCAGATAAGTGACCTGGAGAATTTTTTTTTCTTTAATGATATGTTTCCACTGTTTTTTTCTTTTGTATCTGGAATGACCCCCTCCTCTCTTTCACAGTTCAGGAGTGCTTTCAAAATGCCCCAGCCTTTCTGCTTCACGTTTAGTCCTGCCAGCTAATGCTCACCAAATGTCTGCTCTTTTTTTTTTTTAAGGTTTTATTTATTTATTTGACAGAGACACAGCGAGAGAGGGAACACAACAGGGGGAGGGGCAGAGGGAGAAACAGGCTTCTTGCTGAGCAGGGAGCCCGACGCGGGGCTCGATCCCAGGACCCTGGGGCCATGACCTGAGCCGAAGGCAGACGCTTCCTGGGGCCATGACCTGAGCCGAAGGCAGACGCTTAACGACTGCGCCACCCAGGCGCCCCAAATGTCTGCTCTTTGATTTTGTTACTCTGCCTTAGCAATTAGAGTAGAGGGATCTTTCTTTTTTTTATAGAGCCAGTAAGAATTTTGCCTCCCTTGGGCGCCTGGGTGGCTCAGTTGGTTAGGCGACTGCCTTCGGCTCAGGTCATGATCCTGGAGTCCCGGGATCGAGTCCCGCATCGGGCTCCCCGCTCCGCGGGGAGTCTGCTTCTCCCTCTGACCCTCTTCCCTCTCGTGCTCTCTATGTCTCATTCTCTCTCTCTCAAATAAATAAATAATATCTTTAAAAAAAAAAGAGTTTTGCTTCCCTCCGCAGGAGTCAGCTCGTGCTTGGAAAACGGCCCTTTCTTCTTATGAGGACTTGCCATTTGCATCAGTTACTCCCTTTCTGTTTGCTTCCCTCTGGTGTCAGAATAGGGTTTTTGTTTTGTTTTGTTTTTAATTTTGAACTTTTCAGGCCATAGAGATTATTTAAAGACAAATAAATGCTTCCCTGGGGTCATTTGGAGGTTTCTGCAGGCTGGCATACCTTCCCAGTTCAGTTGCCTCATTGACACTTCTCTGTGAACCCGAGAGAGACTGAGCTCCTCCCGAAGCCCTGAGCAGCTTTGACCTTACACTTGAGACTTTTTCCCAAGGAGTGTCAACACTGGACTTTTTGTTGTTGTTTCTATGTAGTCATCATTAAATATGCTTGATGCTGTACCAAGCAAATGTTTCCAAAAGACATCAAATCAGAGTAACTTTGAATGGGCAGCTCGAACTGTAGTATATGGAATGAACGTGGCACGTTCCCTTTTCTTTCCCCACACGTTATTCCATAGTGGTAACAGCGAACGTTTCCGGGACACTTCCTGTTTGCAAGGCCTGGTTGTTCTAAGCTCTTCATCTGTGTCCTCTCATTGTGCCCTCACACCCTGATGAGGAAGGTCCTTATTGGACAGATGAGGAACATGGGCACCAGGAATTTAAACAAGGATCAGCAAGCCTGTAAGTGGTTGAATCAGGATTTGAGCCTAGCAGTCCAGCTCCAGAGGCTGAAGCGCTCTGTTGTTGCTGCTTGTCAGGGCGTGTGTGCTCAGGATCCCTGTCCACATCATGTCAGTGAGTGTGTCCAAGTAGATCATCAAGTGCGAATTGTGAGATGCGGAGAGAGATCTAAAAGTAGACCTAGTGGCAGGGACATGATCTCTTGGAGTATCTCTTGGGAGAGCTGCTATGTGGTGTGTAATTCCATCTGCCGCTGTGACCTCTGTGTTTTGCTGTTGCTGCACATCACACCTGGTTAGGGGACGGCCCAGAGATTGGGGAGGGACTTGTAGCTTGATTTCTGAGGAATGGACTTCTACTCTCTAGAAACATGTCCCTGGGGTCAATAACTGGGCATCCGGTTGCAGAAGAGAGAAAACAGCCTTTTAAAGGCATCAAGCAGCTCCTCCTTCCAGAGAGTGTGAAGATAGGGAGAGGAAGATATTGAAATAAATTGTTATATAAAGGGGCACCTGGGTGGCTCAGTTGGTTAAGCGACTGCCTTCGGCTCAGGTCATGATCCTGGAGTCCCAGGATCAAGTCCCACATCCGGCTCCCTGCTCAGCGGGGAGTCTGCTTCTCCCTCTGACCCTCTTCCCTCTCGTGCTCTCTCTCTCTCAAATAAATAAATAAAAATCTTAAAAAAATTGTTATATAAAATATAAATACCATAGACTTCTTGGCTTGTGGGACTTGTGGTCTTTCCTGACATTTCTGACTGATCAGACTTAAAAGTATTTCCTGCAAACGTATCATTCGGCCTATAGTTTGTACCGGAGCCCTGCTGATCTACACTTACAATAATCCGTCAAAGTCAAATTTAGTATCAAGTCCTAAAGGTCAGATTTAAAGAACAAGAGTGTGCATATACCTAGAAGGATGGTGGAAGAGAGGTTAGAATCAAGATTTCAGGTTTTGTTTACATCTTACCATTAAACCCTTTGCAACCTTGGCAGATCTATCGCTAAGGCTCTCAAATTACCCAGTGTAAACGGGGAGAGTTCTAACTTTATAGGAATGTGATGCTTGAAAAATGCCTTGGAATTGCTGGATAAAAAGAAGCCCAGAGCAATGGTGGCTACACTGCTATCCCCTCAGGTTGGTTATTTATGCAGCTACTGAGAGTTTTCGGTGGAGAGAATATTCACTGGCTTTTAAGTAACTGTCTTAAGTAGTGAACGGGGCTTCTGAAGGTCTTTCTGCTCTGATCCCTGCATCTAGAGGAGCTAAGATCCCTGTGTTTGTGCATCACAGTTATAAAATGTTAAATAAAGACCATCCTTCCCCTTCCTAGGTGGGGAAGAGCCAGTGCTGATTTTTTGCTCCTTTACTGAGCTAGGTCTTCTTTTGTCAAGGTAAATTACTGCTAAAACTCTAAGTTATTTAGCGGCTCAGTGAACTGAGGATTGACAGAGAATCAAATGATACCTGAGTCCAAACGTATCCTCTTACCTTTGAGGAAAGTAGTTGAGTTTTGGTCAAGCCCCTGATACTCCACATTATCTTGTGTGTTCTGTTCCTGGGCCGCTGGAGCTTTTTCCTCCGCATGCTCCCTGCAGCCAGGACTGCACAGCTGGCCGTAAGAACCAAGGTGCACACAGGTGGGCCTTTCTTCTCCCCCAATAGAGATACACCCAATCAAGTCTCTGTAAATTGAGCCCCTTTATTCACATGTGTGCAGGAAGAGCAGGGTATTTTATTTATTTTATTTTATTTTATTTTTTAATTATTTGAGAGAGAATGAAAGTGAGAGAGATCACAGAGGGAGAGGGAGAAGCAGGCTTCCCGCTGAGTGGAGAGCCCGATACAGGGTTCAATTCCAGGACCTGGAGATCATGACCTGACCCGAAGGCAGACACTTC